ACACACACACACACACACACACACACACACACACACACGTACAGCCCCAGAATGCATGCACAGTGTCACAAGCTACAGGTGGGTCTGTAAACATATTGTGTGGGTCTGTATTATCATGAAAATGACAATGTCAGCTCCAAATACCAGTTCTTCATCCAATACCACACAGTTCACACGACTCAGGCATTACGATTATATTCTTAATAAGACACCTTTTTATTTTTTTTCCTCCATTGAAAGTCACAACTGAGAAATAGAAAGTCTTGGGGTAAGAATGACCTGATCAGCAGCACAGATTTCAGAATCAGAATTGCGTTTTATTGCCAAGCAGGATTACACATACTACGATTTTGTTGCGGTGTATTTGTGCAAGTATAAATGTAAAAAATATAAAAAAAGGAAAATTAAATTAAATATAAAAATACTATAAGGGAAGGGATTGTGCAATATGTTGTAAGTAAGCACCAGAGACTGGATAGTGCAAACTTTGACAATGAACATTTGTTGAGTTGACTCAATGACCAGGACATTAGAATTTGAAAAAACTGATTCTTGATGGTGTCTGTTTCAGCCTTCATTTTGGAATGACACAGGGAAATACTGTAGATCCCAACATATACAAATTGGAGAATTAAATGCTTGTATTCAACCTCACATCACCTTGATTTTTTCAATGTTCTTCTTCCCTCTGCTGGTGGTACTAGTGACATGCTGCCATAAAGTGCTGTGCAGTCTATGTCAGGCAATGAACTGTTAGTTCAGGATAAACTAGCATCTAAGCAAATTTGTGAATTAGAGCTGAATAGGTACACAAAATAAATGTGCTATATCTACTAAATGAGAAAAAAATGTATGGTTTGTAGGCAAGAGACACAGCTTTTTGTTCATCCTCTGTATGTTTCTCATGCTTCCTCTCTTTATTTCACAATGTCACGCATGTTTTTTTTCCCATGAAGCTCTTTGGTTACAGCAGGTTTCCATACTTGGTGTTGTGTTGCTGTCACATCGCCTGTGTTCTGCTTTTTTCTCTTCAGACTTAATTATTTCTACAGCAATTCAGGAACATGCAGAGGTGAGTTAGGTTTTGATTCTCTTTAGTTCATAATTTCCTATACTGATACTGACTTTAGGAATATCTGTTGGTTCTTTAACTAATTGTGTGGAAGTGACTTGTGTACTTTTTTGCTGATGTTTTCACAGTTAAGATCAATTAATGTGTGTAATTTTCAACACATTCATTTTTTTAACATTGAAGTCAGGTGGAATGTCTGTTTCTATCATATACTTCATGGCATGCAGCAAGACTTTAATACCAGTTTTACTTTTGATTCTACATTTTAATATAATACAGTCAGGTAATTTACAGTATTTGATGCATGACACAGCAGTATCCTTGAATTATATACCCTTCTGCTTTTGTTCTGTTGTACACTGTGTTGAAATAAGGGTTTGTCTTTTTACACATACTCTGAGGAGAGCCTATCGCTGAAACATACATCACCTGTGAAGTTTGAGGGATTGTTGCTTTGTTTTATTTCATGACTTACATTTGATAAATGAAAGAAAGGCTTTCAGTTCTATCAGCCATTTTAATTCTGTCTACATCACAGGACAAAGAGGTGGCTTCTCTGGTGGCTGCTCCTGTATTTGGTGTCTCATAACATCAGCTTGGAAACAAAACAAGAAATATGTCAAACTCCAAGAAGTTGTTGCAAAGATTCCCCCACAACAAACGGTAAGATATAATAATCCCCCTCCCATACACAGGTACGCACACACACAAGCACATCATTTAAATATTAACAAATTATTTGGTCTTCTTTCAGATGTCGAACCCTGTATGACAGATCTAAACAACATTTTGAACAATGGATACAGCCAAAACATTAAGAAGTAATTATTTAAATTATATATCAAAGTATATTTTTGTCTTTTTTAATATTTGTTCAAACTCTTTTGTAATATTCAGATCTTAGATTTAGCCATTTTGTGGTTTTGAATAAAAAATAATTCATTTTGTGTTGTGAATTATAATTTGCTTTCCACAAGGGCCATGGAGGAAGTGGAAGACCTTATTGATAAGGTTGTTGTGACTGAGACTATGTCCATCTCTCTGAGTCATCTAGTGTTTTCCCTGCAGAAGTATAAAAACTTCCCCAGAGGCATTACGATGTACGCCAACAATGAGGAGGTAATGATGTGTTCAGTCTGAAATGGAGATTTGAAGCCAGAAAAGAAATGTCTACCATTTGTACCCATTGTGAAATAATAGCCTGTGACTCCTCTCTGTAAATAATGAATAGATTTCAGTCATTTTTGTGATCATACAAGTTCAAATTTTCAGTTTGTCCTATAAATACCTACAAAACACATTTTGCATAATTACATGCTAACAGTAAGATGGTGTGTGTTGGATGGAAACAACAAGAGCCATTTTCCGTTATGTGAACATGTTTGCATGCAGACATTTGCATTTAAGACACTGTTCTAAAGTTCAGCTGCTATAGCATACAAGCTTTTATATGTTTAGTCCTGAGGTACTGTACTTTCTCAGCTTGTGATCTCCAAATATGCTGTTGGGTCAGCCTTGTAAATACAAATTCTTTCCCTGCAGTTGATGTAAGATACAAGTATGTGTGAGTTGCATTTTTCTGTGATAGATAATTCAATGCAATTTTTCTCTTCTTGTTTTTGGCACTGTGCTTCTGATGTATAGGTATCGCCACACAATAACATCTCCAAATGCAGGGTGTCTGTTCAAATGCCAGGAGAGCTGGACACTGGATCAGACTTCTCAATTGCATTTTGCCTGCTTACCTGGCCGGAAAAAGATTGGGTCAGAGACACAAACACACAAACATGTAAAATGTAGTAGAGAAGCTTCTTAATTGCTTTTAAACACTACATACTGCACAGTAAAATATACCTCATGGATTTGCATATTTTAGTTTAGCCCAGTTGTTGCTAGTTTATTTCACAATTTCTTAATTTCATATTTCATAATATTTCCCAATATCGCTGCATAATGTTTCACACATAGGAAACCTATAGCTGCTTTGTAAAATGAATAGAATTCCATGATGAGTCCACACATACAGTGTTTTTTAGTTTGTACAAAAGGCTCTCAGAGTCATCATTTTCGGTAAAATGTCAAACTATCAACCAGACACTTCTTTCATAAAAGAGGAAGAGATGTCAGTTTTTTACAAGCTGCAATATCACCAACTGCAATAAGATATTTTACTTGTGAGGCGAAACAACTGCTTTTGTTCTTCTCCGCTACAGTGACATGCAAAATGTAACTGTATACAAGATCAGGTAAGTTACTACATCTGTCCGCACTGGTGAATGTAAACCACAACTTTTCACTAGCGACAGATGAAGCAGTGTGACAAGATCACTTTTTAACTCTACTTTAACACTACCGGTTGTAAAGGGTAATGATAAACTGTCAAACTCATGGACTGTATATTGTGCTGTAGATGACACCAGGAGCCTCAGATGAACTGTATCAGAACACAATGGTTGGTCTGAAAGTGAGTGGTAAGAAGATTTCAGGACTACGGGAGCGTGTCAACATCACCATGGTTCTTGATATCAACATAAATGTAACTATATAACTTAATTTCACAGATTTCAGTTACTATTTGTATATTTGTATGTGGCTGAAAAGCATCAATGTGTACATTATCAACCTAATGTGAGCCTGGTTTGTCATTTTTGTCAAAGGACACCCGAGTACCCTCCTGTGTGTTTTACAATTTTACAAATAAGGGTGAGTAAAAAGCATCACAGAAATAAGTAATAACAACTAAGACAATTGTTTCTTTGTGTTATAAGGAGAGCTGACACACAATCTTTGATATGCATAATGGATGGGCCTGTTTTTGTTAAACTTGGCAGATTATAGCTCTGTTGGCTGCCAAACCTTTTGGAAACGTGGTGAGGTACAGGTCACCTGCTCCTGCGACCACCTCACATACTTCGGCGTGCTCATGGTAGGAGAGACATTCACAGCGAAGTGACTGGTACCTCGTCAATCACCAAAACATTGCTACATATTATATATTGTGAAACATATATAATCAATCCAGTAAATTTGCTATTAAAAACTATCATGGTGATACATCACAAACATCTGGCACATCAGAGGATACTTAACTTTAAACCACAGTGTTGTAATGTAAAAAAGAACAAATACAGTATATAATGAGCAACCTTCCAACATGACCTCCCACATTATCGAAAACAATCCTAAATTAAACCAGTGATTATATGATCTGCATTTTATTTAGAGAAGACTTTGTAGAGAATATACAATTTATTAAGTTACAATTTATTATGTCATCAATTCTGTTGTGTTCTTCAGCTTAACAGCAACATTTCCCTGTAGTATTTAGCATTTGTCACCACAGTGTTATGCTCGACTGCACAACTAGAGGGCGGAAGAGTTAGAAAATGTTCCACACAGTTTATAAAAGTGGAACTACAACAATGCAAAGCCTAATTACTTGTAATCTTGCATTGAACATTTCACTTATGTAACAAATTAAGTATTGATAGCAAGATGCACAAAAAGGTCACTATGTAAGGGTGCACCTATGCAATCTTTACACTGTATTTGCAATGCATTGTATTTATCATATAGCTGTTTTTTAATTATGGATTACAGATGCATTCACATATATTACATTTTTTATATCTCCCAAACATAATAAGACAAGACACGTATGGAGATGCACAAAATACATTCTTCAGACATTCATCACAATTTGTATCAATAACATTGATCACTGACCTTTAACAAAACCTTAAATAGGTGTACTCGCAATTCTGATACAGGTAATGATATGTTAAATGACAAATAAAAAAAAATTAAAAAGAAAGAGACTATGACCTTAACCATGAAATTATACTCATTGCCTTTGCTGTCAAGATCAGATTTGTCAGTACGTAACTCAAACCTCTGTCTATCTGGTCTTCAGGGAAAATATACAGAATGTAAAGTTTTAGATAAAAAAAACAAAACAACAAATCTAAATCAATACTACCATACCTTGATCTCTTTTTTTTTGGCACATGTCCAGTGATGCAGTGATTTTGGGACAATCCCTGAATATATGAATAAAAACGCCCAGCACAGTCCCTCTAACTCAGACATATTACATTACATTTCATATAAACGTCAGGTGGCAAAAGTGTTGGTCTTATCAGTGGTATGTATGTTTAAGCTGGGAGTAGTAATCATAACTTAAAAGCCTTTGCCTATAAGAAAAAATCAAAGTTGTAGAGAAATACAGTATTTCAATAAAGTTACTGAGTGACTGCGATCGATGATTCAAAATCTCTCCAAATATAGTGTTTGTGTTTACATGACAGACTAAATGTAATAATAGAAATCCAGCAGGGATGCAGCTGCAAGTCATAATTCCTGTGTATTTTCTCCACAGGTGTCTGCTCCCCTTTCAGCTAAGCACCAGAAGATCCTGACATACATTAGTCAAATTAGCTGTGGTCTTTCTCTCATTGCCCTGTTCATCACTGTTTTAATCTTCATCACAAACAGGTTATTTACTCTTCCTTTATCTCCTCATATTGCAGTGTCCTTAATCCATTCTTACATTCAATCTATCCTTCCCACTTACAGCATCCCTCTGTCCTTGCTCCCACCACATCCTAGGTCCCTAGGTTCTTCTCTCCTCTCCCCCCGTTGTTTGTCTTTTTCTTCTTCTCCACTCTTCCTTTCTTCCACCACTTTCTTAATTTCATTGCCACACATGTTTACGTTAATGCTGAACCCAGATCATTTCTCCTCTGTTTGACAGAACGATCAGAGCAGATGTGTCCATGAAGATCCATATCAACCTGGCCGTTGCGCTGATTCTGCTCAATGTACATTTCATCAACATCGACCATGTGCCACAGTCTTCCACTGGGCTTTGCCTGTACATGGCTCTATTTGTTCATTATTCTCTGCTGGCCACTTTCAGCTGGATGGCCTTGGAGGGCTTCCACATCTACCTTCTTTTAGTCAAAGTCTTCAATATATATATCAAGAAATACCTGCTCAAACTCGCTTTGGTGGGATGGGGTGAGTAGAATTACCAGGGCTGAGGACCTACACCATCAGATTTAAAATTTTTAGGAGACTGCACATTTAAGTGGAGGAATTAATTCAGTTCTCAAAGGTTCAGTGTGTAAGATTTAGGTGAAAGGGATCTATTGGCAGGAATGGAATATAAAATAAACCCATTGATGTTTTGACTTGTGTGTAATCATCTAAATTATACCAATTGTTGTTTTCTTTACCCCTGAATGCGCCCTTTACATCTAACACTGGAGGCTGCAGATTCTCTTACATGTTTATAAGGGGAGGGTGAGGTGAGGGGTATTCAGCGGCAACATGCAACTAACCACTAGATGTCACTAAATCCTACACACTGAACCTTTAATCTGTGTGTTTCCTACAGGTATTCCTGCAATCATTGTGTCCCTGGTGGTCATCATAGACAGAGACGCATATGGTCGTGTTGTTTTGGACTCATCTAACCCCAACAGCACTGAAATGTAAGAAAGAAGTGGGACACATTTTTAAGCATGTATAATCTAGACTAATCATTTGCATATAGAGTTTGTGTGTATTTGACATTCAAATTAACAACAGAAACAGAAATTCCATTTCTTGGGCAGCATCCTTTCAAATGTAAACACTGAATTCTGGATATATTTCATTGCATATAGCTACGTATTTAGTCACCTGAATCTTTAGTCTTGTTTTAATTACAGAATATTAGATTTTTCACCATATGAAAAAAAATGCTGTTATACTCCTTCTCTTCACAGATGCTATATAGCCAACAACACAGTCAAAATGGTGACTACGGTGGGAGTATTTTGCTTTGTGTTCATCTTTAACGTGACCATGTTTGCGTTGACAGTCAGAAGTGTGTTGAGTCTCCGCCCTCCTGAAGAGGTACGGGTCAATCTGCACTTTTACGTTTACTTTTGTGACATATTTATTCACTGGATTTCAGCTTTTCGAATGTAATCTTTTGACAGGAAGCATTTATACGCCACATATTGTAACATATGCAGTGAATCCTGTTTATGTTTTTGACATTTTGTATGTTGTAGCCTCATGATCTTTAAGACTCAAATCAGACTGACATTCATATTCAGATCCTTGACACTTGAATTGTACGTCCTCCATTTACCACCTTCCATTTCTTTTGATCCTCTTCGTGATGTTTCTACATCTTGATCACATTCCACCCGTGATACCTGCCCACAGTGCTTAGAGACAGGATTGTTTTAAGACACAGATCTGGGGAAGGCAAAACAATTCTGCTCCATTAAAGGTTCTCAGGAGCCTCTGCGATTCTAAATGGACAAGGTTTAGAACAACAAGGACTTTTTCTAATGCTGGTCATCCGCCCAAACTGATCTATAGGGGCACAAGGGTGTTGATAAGAAATAAGACTAAGAACCCGATGGTCAATGTGGCTGAGCTCCACAGATCCTACGTGACAGAAGTCTGACAGAAGCATCTCCTTGGTGAAAGACACATGGAAGTCTAGAATGTGAAAACCAAGATTCTCTGTTCTGATGACACCAAGCTTGAACTTTTTGGCCTTGGTTCTAAATATCATGTATGGGGAGCAAAGTGCAGATGTATCATTAATGAAGACCTGGTTCAGAGAGCTGAGGACCTCAGACTATAACAAGACAATGACCCCAAGCACACAGCCACGACAATGCAGGCGTGGCTTAACCCTGTGAATGTCTCAGTCGAATAACAGAGACTTGAAAATATGTGCATGCCACACCGACACCTAACCTGATCCAGCTTGAGAGGATCTGCAGAGAAGAATTGTTAGAAAAGCTCCAAATCCACATGTGCAAAGTTGGTCAGGCCACTGCAAAGAAGACTCAGTGCTTTCATTGCTGCCAGACTGCTTCAACTGAGTACTGAGTACAGGGTCTGAATACTTACGTCAATGT